ATTTTCTCAATCTCCTTTCTTTCTTCCTGCTGCCTTTCAGTGTGTGTCCTTTCCTCTCTCTCCTGAAGCCCATGGATAAACACTGATTTTGCCCTTTCCTCCTCCCATTGCCTCACCCTCTATGACTCTGGAACCTGTCTGTATATGGTAATTTTCTCCCTTGATTTTTCCAGTGGCTCTTGGAAGTGTGGTTGTGCCTCAGCATTTGACCATCACCCTCTCCATCTGCACCCAGCTGTTCTTCCCTTTCACTCCTTGGCCCTTCCTGGCAGGCTGATATGATCTAAGCATAATTCATATCTCCTTCCTTCCTGTTCAACCTCTCAGCTTCATATGTTGTGTCTTCTCTGGTCACTGCCCCTGTAACTTGCTTCAGCCTGTTTATCTCAACTTCTAGGACCCTTATCCTGACTACTGCAGTTTCGACTTGTGCCTCCCAATTCTTTGTCTCCCTCTCCAACCTCTTTCCAATTTCACAGAGAGCTCTTTCTCCATTTTTTCAGAAAGCTCTCCTAATTTTCTCTCCCACTCTTGTTCCATCCTTTTCCACTGCTCCTCCATCCACTCCTCCCTACCAGAACCATTCTCATTTGATCCCTGGTTCCTGTGAGTCCCCCACCATTTTTTTTAAGAGAGAGGGGGAGGGGAAAGAGAGAGAAAGGAAGGGTAGGAGAGGGGGAGAGTGAGAAGGGAAAATGGGGAGAGAGAGAGAGAGAGAAGGGAAAGGTAGAAGGAGAGAGAGAGAGAAGGGAAAGGTAGAAGGAGAGTGAGAAGGAAAAAGGGGGAGAGAGAGAGTGTGAGAGAGAGGGGAGAGAGAGAAGGGAAAGGTAGAAGGAGAGAGGGGGAGAGTGAGAAGGGAAAGGGGGAAGAGAGAGAGAGGGCAAAGAGAGGGGGAGAGGGGAAGAGAGGGGGAGAAGGGGAAAGAGGGGGGAGATGGGAAAGAGAGAGAGGGGAGAGAGAGGACAGGGGGAGAGAGAGGAGGGAGAGGAGGGGAGAGAGATGGGAAAAGGGAGAGGGGAGAGATGTTAGAGGGGGGAGAGGGGAGAGAGAGAGAGAGGCAGAGTGACAGGTAGAGAGAGGTAGGTAAAGAGCAAGAGAAGTAAAGAGAGATAGGTAGAGAGGGAGGCAGGTAGTGAGAGAGAAGGAGTGAGGGGTTTAGATGGTCAGTTCACAGGAAGGTGTGAAATCCTGTGTGTGTGTGTGTGTGTGTAAACAGCTTTTACAAGTGCTTGTTCCTGTGTGTATGTGTGTGTGTATGTGTGTGTGTATGTGTGTGTGTGTGTGTGTGTGTGTGTGTGTGTGTGTGTGTGTGTGTGTGTGTGTGTGTGTGTGTGTGCGCGCGCGCGTGCGCCCCCGCTTCTAAGTATTCATACTGCTAATAAATACCGGTAAATACCAGTGATTCTAAAGCTTACCAAGTACTTCTAACACTTATCTATTCTACTTATAAAATACAGAAAGTAGCTAGGTTGTAAAAATTTAGCTTGTCTCAGCTTAAGTGTCTGACGTTATCCCTCGCTACCGCTTTACTCCTTGCACTCTCGTCCATGCTATTTCTACTCTAATTCTGTAATAGCTTGCAGGAGTGAGTGACCAGTATCTAACAGTGATGCAAGACCAGAACTCAGAACCCTGCAACATGCAACCTCAACAGGTGAGCAATACTTGCGCTGGCAGTGGTGTGATGGCAAGTTGCCAGATGCTGATGACGTAGTCATCGTACATAGGCCTTCTATAGCTATTTTGTAAATCCTTCACCCGTGATGTTTATAACCATATATGCTCATGCATCCCGCATTCCTCAAGTGATTTCACTTTTCACTTACAACAGAATACACTTCACATTCAGTGTTACACTTTATATGTATAATGGCATACAACTGTTGTGACGTCACTGCTTCAGCAGGCCTACTATTGCCACCTTCCCTTGTTGTATATTTTATTTTTCCTTTCTCCTTTTGCTTATTAACTTTTTCACTCTCACTGTATGGTGCCCCACATTTCACTTAACGAAACGCTGGTAATTCTTGAACACCCACTTCCACACTCACTTTGATCTTTGTATATTTGAATCTCTGTGGCAACAGTCCCTAGTTTGTGTGTGTGTGTGTACACACCTATTTGTGGTTGCAGGGGTCGATTCATGGCTCCTGGCCCCGCCTCTTTACTGATTGCTACTAGGTCCTCTCTCCCTGCTCCATGAGCCTGATCAAACCTCGTCTTAAAACTATCTATGGTTCCCGCCTCCACTACGTCACTTTCTAGGCTATTCCACTGCCTGACAACTCTGTGACTGAAGAAATACTTCCTAACATCCCTTTGACTCATCTGAGTCATGCAATAATTTCGCAAAAATCATTCTGAATCTAACAAAAAAAAGTATATTTCATAGTGTTTATTAAATTACTGTAAACTTATCTAAAATGTATTTAGTTGGATTAGGCTTAAACTGCGCTTGTTATAATAAGGTTAAGTAAGTTTTCTAAGGTTCTTTTGGTACAAATTATTAATTTTTACATTAATATAAATGAAAAACCTATATCTTTAAGCGTATAAGAGAACATTTTAGAAAGGACTTAATTTTAAACGAGTTCTTGCTAACTGACCAGTTTTACCTATTCGGCACAACACACACACACACACACACACACACACACCAGTCTGGGTGAATTTAAATATCAGCCAGGATGTGTAAACTGCACGAGTCTGAGTGTTACTTTTCTTCATTGCAGTCTATAATTTTTGTTACATAACTTTATACTTTGCTTGGAATATTAGGAATAGCTGCGATATCCTCTGGTTATTTTGAGTTCATAATAATAGTAATAATAATAATAATAATAATAATAATAATAATAATAAGAGCTAAACCCACAAAGTCACAGCGCTATATGAGTTAATATAAATATTAAGATATACGAGTCCTGCCTTGATTCTGTCGACGCTTGACTGTCTCAACATACGTATTCTCAAACACACTGTGCTGACTTGAGCCGCCTCTCCTGCCTTGACTTATTTTTTTTTTTTTTCTGTTTTGTGACTTTTCCATATCTTGCTCGTCTCTTTCCTAGCATGGGCCAGTTGACCTACTGCAGTGCTCCTTGGTCTCCCTCGGAGACTAGTGTTAAGATTTGAAGTACATTGATCTCCACCCTGAGAAGTAATTTACTCTCATTACTCTGTCAGTAGTCGTGCACAGTGTGGGCCAGTAGGTCTCCTGCAGTGCTCCTCTGTTATTTTGTTCTTGTGTATTAATATCATTACGTTTACCACTAGTTCTACCAATACTACTACCACCACCATTCTATTCTTTCCCCTACCCCTCCTTACCTGCAATCTAGTCTTCTCTATTTTTCCCTCTCTCAGTTGTGACTTGACAATGGTCCAGAACAAACCGAAACATGATAATTTTCCTCTCCAACGTGTGGGTTATTTGAGAATTGTTCTAGCCAAGGTACTGTGACTTATTCATGAAACCATAAAATTTAGAAAAGTTTTAACAAGGTTTGTCAGAATTACTACTGACTCGATTTATGATCGTGTTTTATGTTTGTTTTGTTTAATTAAACTTACATTTGCAGGCTTAATTGATCATATAACTGGGTGAAGCCAAATTAGCTGTGTAAACGAGTAGTGTCACATTTGTTATTATGTATGTGGTTGACATCAAGACATGTTAGTTTTGCTTAGCTTAAATTAACATATTAGTTTGTTACTTATATATGTTCGTAGTTTGGCAATTATACCGTTATCCCAAAGTGTATTAGGGAGCTTGTTTATTTTGAGGGTGGCTGGGGTATTCTTTATTGTTTGTGAGGGTACACGACTTGTTTTCCGGTGATCAACTAACCAAAGAAATGGTGAGTGAACTTTGAGTGCAAGGCTACACACACCAGAGGTGAATGTGAGTGCAAGGCTACACACACCAAAGGTGTGTGTGAGTGCAAGGCTACACACACCAGAGGTGTGTGTGAGTGCAAGGCTACACACACCAGAGGTGAGTGCAAGACTACACACACCAGAGGTGAGTGCAAGGCTACACACACCAGAGGTGAGTGAAAGGCTACACACACCAGAGGTGAGTGCAAGGCTACACACACCAGAGGTGAGTGCAAGGCTACACACACCAGAGGTGAGTGCAAGGCTACACACACCAGAGGTGAGTGCAAGGCTACACACACCAGAGGTGAGTGCAAGGCTACACACACCAGAGGTGAGTGCAAGGCTACACACACCAGAGGTGAGTGCAAGGCTACACACACCAGGTGAGTGCAAGGCTACACACACCAGAGGTGAGTGCAAGGCTACACACACCAGAGGTGAGTGCAAGGCTACACACACCAGAGGTGAGTGCAAGGCTACACACACCAGAGGTGAGTGCAAGGCTACACACACCAGAGGTGAGTGCAAGGCTACACACACCAGAGGTGAGTGCAAGGCTACACACACCAGAGGTGAGTGCAAGGCTACACACACCAGAGGTGAGTGCAAGGCTACACACACCAGAGGTGAGTGCAAGGCTACACACACCAGAGGTGAGTGCAAGGCTACACACACCAGAGGTGAGCGCAAGGCTACACACACCAGAGGTGTGTGAGTGCAAGGCTACACACACCAGAGGTGTGTGAGTGCAAGGCTACACACACCAGAGGTGAGTGCAAGGCTACACACACCAGAGGTGAGTGCAAGGCTACACACACCAGAGGTGTGTGAGTGCAAGGCCTGGAGAAGAGTTCATCTCCATGGAGCCTACTATGTTGGCGAAACGTTTCAACAAAGATACCCAACTGTTGCACATGTGTCTTAATCTTCAACTTATAATATATATATAAAAAATCTCATTACTACATTCCCAACATAACTTGGGAGGCAAGATATACCCGCATCTGCATACATTTTACCTCACATTTGCCAACAAAGCTGTTCCTTCTAGCTGCCCGCTGTCTTACATAGCCATTACAGCCTGGCACTTGGACGAGGTAATGTTACTGCACACTCACCGAAGCTTTGAGTGATCCAGATGCCAAACATGTCAAGGTGGAGGAGAGACTTGTAGCAGAGCTCTCCTGAGCGGTGGTTCATGAAGAGGTGGTAGATGGTGGAGCCTACCCAGGGGCTGACAGTGGAGACCAGGTGGGTCCAGGGCAGCAGCGGCACAGTGATATCACCCCAGGGTAGCAGTGTCCGCCACCACACCAGGATGTACAGCATGGGCACTCCTGCAACACAATAACACCGTATTAATTTACACTAACTTGACAAAGTAACTCAATAACCAACGAAACATTACTTACCCTAACTAAACCTGACAAAACAAAGGTTTATTTTGCGGGAATAATTTCACTTCAACATTTGAAATGCAAGTATTATTTTTTGGACATAATTTCTCCCTCAACCTACCAAAGGTAGATATTACCTCGATGGAGCTTATAGTAAACATGTCATGGGAAGGAATTACCCTGGAGGAAACCATTGGAAGAGATTAGATAAAAGAGTAACGCCTAGATACTGAAAAAAGATTACCCAAGGATTTTTTTTTGGGGGGGGGGGGGGCTCAACGACTCCACGGTCTGGTCCCAGGCCAGGCTTCCTGGTGGCTCAAAGCCTGATTCACCAGGCTTGGCAGCCCGGCCTATCAGGAACTGACTTCAAGAACTTATCAAGTTCCATCTTCACGACAGTCAGGAGTCTGTTGGTAATCCTCCTTACGTATCGTTGGAGGCTGCTGAAAAGTCTTGGGTCTCTTACACTTACTGTATTATCTTTGTGTATTCGTGGCACCTGTTCTTTTCATTGGGTGTATTTTACACCGTATGCCGAGTTTATTGCTTGCGTGGAGAGTAACCAAAGGACACAGTAATTTTTCACCTACATATACCTTATTAGTGATAAAACCTCGTGTAGCGATTAACATCAAAATCAGGAAAACAGGAGCCCCGGGATCTGAAGGGTGGATAAGAGAAGAGAAGAGTTAGGCCTAGGCTCTCCTGGAGGAGAGCCTAGGCCTGACTTGTGGAAACATGGTGTCGTAGTGAGATATCTCTTAAGTGACCCTTATTTTGTTTTATCCATGTTCTGAATGATGTACACAAGTATGGAAGCAATGTGTGAACGTGTGCTGCCAATTGGTTAATGGGTTTAAAACACAGGCAAGAATAATTTGATGTCTAAAATGGGGATTAAAGTCAACTCTTAGTATATACACACACACCGAGTTATTTACCTCTCTGTGTGTGCTGCTACAGCAACTAACAATCTATATCAGAGATCAACAACCCGCGACCTGCGAGTCCCGTGCGGACCTCCAGGAAGTTTAATGCTGTTCTCTGAACCCAACAGAAAAAATAAACAATATTACTGTACAATCACTAAAGCTATCAAAATGTTGTAGTAATGTTGGTAGAATTACCGACAATATGTAAAGTAAAAGGTTAGGGTAATGCAATAGAGCATTTAAAGGTTTCAAGTCAATGGTTGCAAGAAAAAGAAAAACTGGTGTCTGACATGTTGAGGTGAAAGCATGTGATGGAATGATCAGTATGTTTGTAAATTACATCAATGAAGGTATTTTTTCACACTTTCTCTACTGTAAACTCTCAACCAACAGAGAAAGAAATGTACTGATCCTTGTAGACAGATACAGTGAAGCACTGAAGCTCCAGCAGAGTTACTTCAAGAAATGATTTCCAATAATATGGACAGGAGATTACAATGTTTCATAACCTATCTGAAGTTTTACCGGATGACTCAGGTGAAATATTTCAGAAGGAACTCGATTGTTTACAAGACAATGACACTCAGACATTTACAAGGAAGGCAGCTGAAACTGTATGTAGATCGACATGACATTTGTAAAGCTCAAGAAATAACCCAATAAAGTCAAACACTGTCTTATATCTGACGAGAAGAAACACACACTGCTTATTTCTCGAATATCAATATGATTGATAAAACTGACACATTACAACTTACACAACCTGTAATCAAGCAGCAGCTTCCACAGGGAAGACAGCACAAAAATCTTTGAAGCCAATCAGATGATGCATCCTCCAGTTAGTGCACAGAATCCAATAAAATTTGCACCTACACAACATAAACCCAAGAAACGTTTCGTCTACTTCAAACTTTAATTATAAGGATGTGGTAAACCCGTAGGGATTACAGCGCCTGAGGAAGGGGGCATTCGGATTCGATCCAATGAAGGGGATGAAAGGTCCAGTTCCTTGGATAAAGAGCCCCTCACCAGCATCAAGGCTTCCTCCCTCCTTGAAGAATACTTCAGTTAAACTATACTATTCCTATATTAAAATTGGCAAAATGACACCAACACACTTCAGTAAATCGCTACTTCATGTAAGTAAATATAATCTTGTCGCTTTTATAAACCATTTATTCAAATTCTTTTAGGTAAGATACACCACTTAAATTTTTGAAGCTGATCAGATGTGGAATTTATTCCACTGGTTATTCCTATTTACTCCCTCTTTCTTTCTTTCTCCTTCCCTCCCTCCATCCATCCCCCACTCTCTCTCTCTCTCTCTCTCTCTCTCTCTCTCTTTTTCTCTCGACAACCTTGTGACCCCTGGGGTTATCACGTCACTTATCCCCTCTCTACCTCGTCTAGGAGGGGCGGGGGTGAAGTTCTGTTTACGACTTTCCTTCACCTCAGAGTGTAGAGGGGACAGAATGCTTATCTTGCCTTGCCTTACCTAAATCTTCAATAACTGAATATTAAAAATGAGAGCTATTTCTCATCAGGTCTCTCAGAACCTTGAATTTGTGTCTTAGTGACTAGTATTTTCCTATAAAAACATTTAACTCTTTTCATCGCCAGTATCGACAAAAGAGCCGGAATTGGAATGCCTGATCAGCTTCGAATCCAGTATACGGCTGTGCTGCGTGGGAGCTTGTGGAGGTCTGGCTCATAATTCCCAGAACACTAACTTGACGGGTGCTCCACCGTCTATTCAAGGACGGCGTGAGAGAGTATCGAAACTCATTTAAGTGATTTAGTGGATTTCTGTATCTATGCTGGGGTTCACAGTCGGTGAGCTGTGACCTCGCAGGTATACTCCAGGCATATGTGAACTTAACAGTTAATGCGCAGCAACAGACTGACTGTTGTTTATCCGCTCAGGTGCGCAGTTTGGAGAATCATAAGGTTAAATGTGCAATATATTTACATTTATGATAATGATAGTTATATTCCCTGAACAATGTGCTTTTACGGCGCTGCAGAGCGCTAAACTATTACGGATTTAACACTTTCCCTTGAATATAGTAATATATTTAAAGCAATTATCTCTGGCCAAAATGTGCAGTGTTTTGCACTGTCCGGAAGAAAAACATGAACCAAGTCTGGTTGTCAACCCTTGGAAGCCAGTTTCCAAAGAAGTGGTCATGCGCCATTCGGTCAACAAAAACATATCAAACAAGTCGATGATTTCCCAAATTTTGGCAAGCTTGATCCGAAATATTGCACCAGAAATGGATTTCCAGCGAGCCATTTTACCGGCTACCTTTCCTGGATCGCGAAAAACTCAGGAAATGGCCCACAGTGTGCATATTTTTTCACATTTTCGCGGCCAGTAAACGATCTCTAAATGTTCCAACTATGACCTTTCTCTTGCCTTCACTGGAGCCCTCAACACTGAACAGTATAGTTACCGAGAGAGCACAAGTGATTTGAAGAGTATCAATAACATAGCTTTGCGTACATCCAGCGGTAACAGTCTAGTTGATCAGGCCCTGATCCACCGCGAGGTCTGGTCATGGACCGGGTTACGGGGGGCGTTGACCCCGGAACATCACCCAGGTAAGGTAGTATTAACCTGTCATGTGAGTGTGCAACACATACATCAGGTATAAGGTTGGCAGAGAGAAACCATCCTGGGAGGTACAATCCTCGTGCCACACCAGTGTGAAAAATGTAACAGGTATTAGTTGGTAGAGAGCAACCATCCTATCCTGTGTACAGTCCTCACACTAACACACTTCTGTCCCTCCCAAGCAACCACAACTGTGGTCCCTCCCAAGCAACCACAACTGTGGTCCCTCCCAAGCAACCACAACTGTGGTCCCTCCCAAGCAACCACAACTGTGGCCCCTCCCAAGCAACCACAACTGTGGCCCCTCCCAAGCAACCACAACTGTGGCCCCTCCCAAGCAACCACAACTGTGGCCCCTCCCAAGCAACCACAACTGTGGCCCCTCCCAAGCAACCACAACTGTGGCCCCTCCCAAGCAACCACAACTGTGGCCCCTCCCAAAGCAACCACAACTGTGGCCCCTCCCAACACAACCACAACTGTGGCCCCTCCAAGCAACCACAACTGTGGCCCCTCCCAAGCAACCAAACTGTGGCCCCTCCCAAGCAACCACAACTGTGGCCCCTCCCAAGCAACCACAACTGTGGCCCCTCCCAAGCAACCACAACTGTGGCCCCTCCCAAGCAACCACAACTGTGGCCCCTCCCAAGCACCACAAACTGTGGCCCCTCCCAAGCAACCACAACTGTGGCCCCTCCCAAGCAACCACAACTGTGGTCCCTCCCAAGCAACCACAACTGTGGTCCCTCCCAAGCAACCACAACTGTGGTCCCTCCCAAGCAACCACAACTGTGGTCCCTCCCAAGCAAACCACAACTGTGGTCCCTCCCAAGCAACCACAACTGTGGTCCTCCCAAGCAACCACAACTGTGGTCCTCCCCAAGCAACCACAACTGTGGTCCCTCCCAAGCAACCACAACTGTGGTCCCTCCCAAGCAACACAACTGTGGTCCCTCCAAGCAACCACAACTGTGGTCCCTCCCAAGCAACCACAACTGTGGTCCCTCCCAAGCAACCACAACTGTGGTCCCTCCCAAGCAACCACAACTGTGGTCCCTCCCAAGCAACCACAACTGTGGTCCTCCCAGCAACCACAACTGTGGTCCCTCCCAAGCAACCACAACTGTGGTCCCTCCCAAGCAACCACAACTGTGGTCCCTCCCAAGCAACCACAACTGTGGTCCCTCCCAAGCAACCACAACTGTGGTCCCTCCCAAGCAACCACAACTGTGGTCCCTCCCAAGCAACCACAACTGTGGTCCCTCCCAAGCAACCACAACTGTGGTCCTCCCAAGCAACCACAACTGTGGTCCCTCCCAAGCAACCACAACTGTGGTCCCTCCCAAGCAACCACAACTGTGGTCCCTCCCAAGCAACCACAACTGTGGTCC